ATGAGTTTGGATTTTGGCAGCTAGTACATGAGAGATGACAGGAAGGTACTTTTACAGTTCTGAGATTAGTTTAAGAGAACACAAAAAGCCGTCCTGTACGAGAGCCAAAAAAATGAAAGAAAGGAAGAAAGAAAGAAGATAAGTGCATTGCTGATGGAGTCCTTAGAGCATCCATGTCCAGTCAAGGTGGTGATCAGGGAAAGTCCCAAAGCCTGGACTGCAGAAGAGAACTGGAAGTCACTTAACAGAGGCGCACTCAGCTGCCACAGCCTGTGGTCTCCTGGCTGGAGATACCCCTCCATGAGAACGGAACCTCACACAGTGGCTGCTCACTGACCCTTTCCCGGCTTAAGAGCAGCTCTCTGGGTTTGGACTTCCTGGTCACTTGGCAGTCTTCTAACACCATTCGCCTTCCTTTGTAGGCTGTGGTGGTGGTAACGTGTGGAGCAGGAAACACTGGCGTAGGAAGCACTTGTTTCTGTCCCTTGCATGCAGCTGGTCCGCTTAGTCTGATTACTTCTTGGAGTACTAGAAAAGCCAGGTTTCGGGACCTACAATGCTGAGAACTGACCCAGCTCCCAATCCTGGTGATCCCTAATGTGAGCTCTGTCATAGCACACGCACCACGACACACACCCTGTGCAGCCAGCCTGATGAGCCCGCGACAGAGATAAAAGTGTGCTACTTGCCTCCTCCTAGCCTGTCTTCCATGCTACATGCTACCTGCTATTTTTAGACAGTGCTCATCAAGCTAGTTATTTTGGAGATATTGCTATTCAAGAAAATATGAATTCCCTACAACTGCATTTTCCCTTTGCTAGGTCTCTCACCTTGGAAATGGCATGGTTGTACCATCAATATATATGAAAATGAGATGGGAGGGATTGACAGCTTTCTGACTTTTCTTGTCCTTCTTTGAATCCTGTTATTCAATTCTGGTTGTAGTGAGTTTACTGACTGATATGAGGATCCTTACCTGGTCCAGTTTATACACAGTAAGCACCATCAGAAATACTGTGTACCAGCTGGGATTTTAGGAACTCAAAGAGTGCACTTGGAGGCAGTGTTTTAATCTGTGCAAATGTAAAATGAAATAGATTTTCATGTAGAATTTAAGTCATTTATTCAAAATAGTGCAATGTACCTATTGTCTTGCTAACAAAACTTTGTAGTGTTATTTTTTTAAAAATTAGTTTTGAATATTCAATATAATTTCACTTCTTTATGAACCAATATTTACATTTAAATAGAACTTTCCAATATTTATATTGCAACTCATGAAAGGAAATTTAATGTTGGGCAGTCCACTTAGGAACACACTATTCTAACAGAGAAACTACAACAGAAAAAATTATTAACAGTGCCATTAATATGAAAATTAACTTGATAGCAGTTGTTGAAGAGAAAAGGTGACCAAGGAAGTAATGTGAGCTACTGTGGACAATTTGGTAGTGCAGCAAGCATAGCATTCTGTGAGGATAACCTCAGCCATACAGCCCTGCACAGGAATTCACTCCAAGCTAGCATCTCATGAACGGCCCTATCTGCAGCCCATGTTAGGAAACAACTGTGAGTTTTCAAACACATGTGTCTCATCAGCCAGTCCTGCTCTTGGACAAAAAGTAAAGCAGTGACTTAGTTTCAGTTGGAAGATAAATAGTAACACCTATTCTATTCATCATTTCCCCATTGCTGGGACAAAATACCTGGCACCTGCCACTTAGGGGAAGAGGGGTTTATTGTGGTACCAAGTAGTTTTAGTTAGTTTCTGTGAGTTCAGTCCATGGTTGGCTGGCTCCACTGTGGAAGTGGCAGGGAAGAAAGGTATGGAGGAGGAGAGCTGCCCGCTGCATTGTGGCCAGGATGCAGACAGAGGAGGGAGGAGCCAGGCAGGAGAATACACCCTTCCACACCACACACCAGTGGCTGCCTGTCCCAGCCAGGCCCCACTCCTAGCACGAGACTTTGGGAAATATTTTATATCTAAACCATAACACTTAGGTAAGAAAACAAAATTTTAAAAACAGCATAAACTTAATCACTAAGAGGTAAGAAGTTGCATGTTCACCGATGATAGATGGACACCAACAAGTTCTAGATGGCTGTGATTCTGTGATGGTGGGATGACCTACATTTTAGGGTTCTTCTGCATCTGTCATGCCAGCAGGGCATCCTATCCAAAGATAAGCCATCCATATCCACGTGGTCAATACGAACCACACATTTGAAGTTTGTCAGATTCAAGTGAATTTAAAAAATAACTACTGGTGTTCCTGAGGGCCCCCAGCACACGGGGAGCCATGGGCGGGGAGTGCTGGTCTTTGGACCGGCAGCTCACTCCCTGCCTCATAGGCCCCCAAAAGGAGGGCTTCGGCGCACAGGGAGCCACGGGTGGGGAGCGCCGGTCTTCTGGCTGGCTAGCTTCCTGCCTCGTAGGCCCCAGGAGGGAAGGCCCCTGGTGCATGGGGAGCCATGCGGCAGCGAGCGCTGTTGCGTGCCGGCCCTTAGGCCGGCCATCGCCACTCAACTGAGATCTATCATGACACAGAGAAACAATGACACAATTGGCCCACCATGCACCAACTGCAGATGCCCACCCACGGACGTGTGTGAATCATTCAAACTTTGAACAACCCCTGGGAATACATGCCATGCAGCAGGTCACTCTTGCTTCTGCCATTGAGAACCAGAAATGTCCAGAGCCAGCGGAGGAGCAGCCACTGAACAAGGACTCAGAGAACATGAGAATGCAGACTAAGCTTGAGGAGTCAGAGGTCCTCTGGACTGGGGTCATGAGAGCCGCTCGGAAGCTGTAAACCAGGAGGAGGACCTTGCACAATACCTGCAGAGACTCCCTGGAAGCCATTCTTCCCCTGACAGTACAGGCTGTGGTGGAGCTCCGGAGGAGTCTGCAGCAGGATTCCTGCTGCCTGTGCTGACAGTTGGGGAGAGGACACTAACTGGTTGTGGGGTCCCAATGCGATGGGAGGCTGGAGAGAAAACGCTACAAAAAACGGCTTTTGCCACAGATGACTCATGTGATTTTTGACAACCCTTAGGCTGTAACTACTTGTTAGATCCTTCTTGCATATCTCTGTCTTCCTGAGATACCACTTTGAAGATACCACCATGTATTACAGCAGTCATTGATATTTTCCCACTAATCTATCCATAACTGTAATGTTTGTATTATTCCTATCCTATTTCATAAATGGATCCATGTTTATTATTATGTGTTTCCTACAACAACCACTGAGAATTATTGAGTGATTATTCAGTAGGTCACTCATGTATAGTTTTATTTATATTCTTTAGAAGCCACTTTGAAGATACCTCAGTATAGTACAACAACTATTGATAATCTCCTACCTCTTTTGTCTGTAACTCACTATTATTTGTCTATTTGTTTTCCTGAGAAACTATCTTGTAGATAACAATATGTAAAACAATAACCATTGATAATTTCCTACCATTTTGTCTGTAATTTGGTAAGCCCCCCCTATTATTATGTTATCCTTCTTTTACTCTTTAAAACAAAAAAAATTAAAAGAAACAAAACAAACAAACAAACAAAAAACCAAAAAACTACTAGTGTTCTCAATTCCTTTGCTCACAATGGAGCATTGGTAAAGTTATGATAATCGACAACATCTCATTTTAATTAATTTTATTTTAATCTGTTGTTCAAGTGAAAGGGATTTACTGCAATAGCTTTTTAAAAATTCTGTAAGAAATATACTAATGTGATCCTGTCTCTATTTCCATAAGATCCGAGTAACAGTACAGTTTGGAACAGATGTCAGCTCCTTGGAATATACTCTTACCTGCTGTCAGCTCTATGCAACTCTGCACTTACATTTAAGGAGCCTGGATGACATTTTCTACCTGCTTTGTTGGTGCTCTTTTTTCTTTTTAAAATCTATTCCCTGAAAACAGCGATTTGTCTTTTATAAACTTAAGCCAAATATAATCCAGAAGCATATTACAATAGTAATACTTCTGCTCTAAAAACAGTGCAGACAGGTGATGTAAATTCCCTCTGTCGGGATTTCAGCTCAGCTTTCTTGGATTCTGCCTAACACTAATAATGACTTTTGTGACAGCACGCTGAGCCAAGAGTACCCTAACCCTCTCTGTGGCCAGGACACTCCGACGTTATTACCGCAGAGATGAGAGCCCTTAAGGACAGACAAACACCACCAGGAAGGGCTGGGGTTGGCTGTGGTAACTGAAGCACTGTCCTTTGCCAAAGAACGCAGGGAGGTGGAGAAGAAGAAAAGGAGAGGGAGAAGAAGAGGAAGGAAGAAGAAAGAAAACGAGGTGATGGGGAGGAGGACGATGAGGAGGAAGAGAAGATGGCTGGAGAATAAGAAGCAGCAGGAGGAGAGGAGAAAGCATCCGAGTTCAGCGGCTGGAGGGCAGAGGGAGCCCCGCCCAGCGCCGGGGTGCACTGTGAGCGAGTCTCCAAGGCGGCCCACAGCTGGGTCTGCGGTCAGGGAAACACTCTACAATCTTCACACAGACGTGTTAAAGTGGGGTGAAAACGAGCGCATCTTTTCACTAAGATGGACTTTTTCTCACTATACCACTACTCTTTGCTTCTTTTCTTTGCATTTGCTCAAAGATCTCCTTTAGTGAGGAGAGAGTAAGGCACGGTCTGTGCGCGTTTGCATATAAATTCCTATGACCACCATTCCAAATTCTAAGGCTGCATTAGCAAGCGGTTGGAAATCTTTCTCTCCAGTAAAGCTCCACACCCCATCTCCAAGAAATGACCAGTCTAGCTTAAAAAAACAAAAGTTTTCATGGTTGGTTTACACAGCCAACCGTAAACCAAAGTCACTTTCGATGTTACCGCTAATCATGTCACCCTGTCGAATTTTCTGCTGAAAGCCGCAGCGAATACGCGCTTTCCACTCCCCAGCTGTTACGGGTAGGCTAGCATTCACACACAGGACACCCACGGGGGAAACCCACCCCAAGTCGCAGAGCTCCCCGACCTGGTCTCCGCCACCGCCGCTTTCCGCTGCAGACCAGAGAGGATCCGAAGCTCCCGCCGAGCCGGGGCTGCCGGCTGGGAGGAGGCGGCGCGGCCCCTCGGGTCCCGGCTGCGCGGTCCGAGCCCGCGGGACGCCCCCT